CAACCAGATACTATGACATCTATGTTAAGCAAAGGCAAAAAAAGGAAATGAAAAATAGTGCAAAAGTTAGTTTTTCACGTTTTGAAAAAATTATTATTACACGTAGTTGTACTCAAGTTATAAGTATCTAATCAATCTATCAACTTGGAACTGATGTGTCGGTACAACAGTGGATGTCAAACTCTAGCGAGAATGAGGATGGATAGCATTCAATTGTTTTTTTTTTCTTCCAAGCTTATTGTATCAAATCAAATCATCACACAACAAAACAAATATAATCAGTCATTGTGTTGACAATAAAACACTAGAAGCAATCTTCACAAGTGGTGAAAATTGATGGTGAAGATTGATCATAAATTATTGCTTTAATGTAAATTTACAAGTATCTCTATAAACGACAAATTTGATGTGCACAGTGAAGTCAGCGCTTTAACATGAAGATTTTTCATGTGGAGGGTAAAACACAACTTGCGTATGCTCTCACACTCATGACATGTCTTACTCATATTGCATAATTACATATTCAAATCTATTCATGGAGCAAGATTATATATTCTATAAAAGATAATAAAATGATGATGAGAGCATTACAAGATGGAAGTAAAAAAAGGTTAGAGTTTTGGCATTTTACAAACAACATATTTTAATTACTCAAGACTAAGATTATGCACAATGACTTTATCAAAAAAAATTTATACAACAATTGCAGATCATGTGAGAATGAAAAAAAATCTTGAAGATCATGCAATGAGTATAGTATTGACTTCAAATATAAGAAAACGTGAAAACTTATATTCAAAATTGTGTAGCTTGTAAATAAAACAATGCAAGCAATCCAAAATCAATCGATTTATTATAATCTTTTTTTATTCCATAACAACAATATGATCATGACATCATGGATTTGGTAAGTGAATTATCAAAAGCTTTATCAAAAAATGATTTCATAGTATTTATTATGGATGAATCACATTATATCAACTACAAAAACAGTGAAGATTTCACGACTCAGTCACTTGTATTTAAATGCAATTTTTGCAAAATATTTATTAAACAACAGTTTAATCACCGATAGAGTTATTCATTTCACTACTTTGTTTTTAAATATTTTGTTTATTTTTTCAAAAAAAAATTAGCAATGTCAATCGCTTATCATCGCTATGGACATTCACACACTAGAATAGCAACAAGAGAGATATATTTTTTGGCTCTTGTAAAATTTGCATAAAAAAATCTCAAAATACATCCACAAAGTTGATTCTATTCTAACTCATGTACGGTCCTAATATCATAACTCCATCAAGTTTGATTGAGCTTTCAAAAAGTAGTACTTTTCAACCAAAATAGTCGTTAGATCTTGACGCCTTAAGTAGTAAACATTTCACACACAATCCACATTTCATGTTTTACACGAGTTGATACTAAAAATAAATATATTTTTTAGATTTATGTTTTGTAACATCTCATTCATAACATAAACATTCATCATCAAATCCAATTTCAATTCACTTGTAAAAGAATTTTTCAAATTGCTTCTTCTTTATCTATCATGTAATTATTTCTATGTATCTGGAATATAATAGCAAAACCTAATAGCTTGAAAAGCTCTTCAATTTTTTTTGAAATTATATCTAAAAGCAAATAAGATCTAGTATTAATATGTATTTTATGTACTATGAAGATCAAACATTCAACAAGAAAGTTTGATTGTTCTACAATATTAGAAATTTAAAATTTTATTGTTCTACTATATTAGAAATTTAAAATTTTCTTTCCAAATTATCTAAAATAAATTTAAAAATAATACGTCTTATTTACTTTCTGAAAATAAATTATAGTACAATGTTATAAAAATTACAAACCATTGTTACATATAATTACACTGAGATTTAATCTCTATATATAGCATGTCTTGTATTAACACAACTACTAGAATTGTTGTAATAAAATGTTGTGGTGATGTGTAATTGTAAGATAACTTCTATGTGAAGAGTTGCAATACTATTTATCATAGTACATATACACACATTATCTCAAATTATATCTAGCACACATGTATAATTTTAGCCTATCACAATATCAGAGTAAGACGCTAATGCACATGCTTTCGATGTATTGGCAAAAGCTCATAAATTAAGAGTAAGTAAGAATAATGAGTAGTACTTATGAATAACAAGCTCAATGAGCATGGGACAGTTTTACGAAAATGATTGAGTGATGTAATAACTATGTTTTACTAAGGCACTTAGAATGATCTAGCGGAGATGTCAGTAGTTGCAAACGAAGAGCATCAATGAAAACATGAAATTGAATCATTCACGTCTAAACTAGATTATATCTTAGATGAATGTTGTTGTTGCATGACTTAGGTTTACATGACTTCGAGGAAGTGATGTCAGACTTTTGTTCGATAGTGAGAACAAAGGTGGTGGAAGCGAGTATGTGAGAAAGTGGATAAAATGAAACTACATAATTTCTCCGGCTTATCACAAGGGTTGTTGTCTCATTTGCTTGGCTTGTCAAAATAAACGGACGTTGTCTAGTAAAAATAAACAAGCCGTGAGGACTGTGCTCTCCAAACGGCGGCACACATATGAGTACGGTAGAAGATGCAGATGGCTAAATCAATTCTTGAAAAATTTGTATCCATGCGGAAATAATTAATTGACGCAAGTTGCATTTTCTAAGTAATTGATAAAACGAAGATTCTAAAACCGTTAGCTGTTTTAAACAAGAATGTAAACAAAGCTTCATGATACAATAAGAAATCCGATTTCACTGTACATGATTTTAAAACTTTTTCAAATTTTTAATCCATCAAGTGTATCATAAAACCTTGTTCAATCAATGATCACAAAAACAAGAAAACGTGAACTTATATATTAGTTAATAACTAAATCATATCTTGTATTAGGCTAAAAATACTTACTTTTAATTTCTAATCATGTCATCAACTAGATTTTAAGGAGAGATTTTAACTAAAATCAAAGAATAGAAGGTTGATGATTTCTTTTTAAAAAAATTATGTTATAGAAACTACATTTTAAATAATAAACTGTCTTTAAATATAATTTTTTGTATTTCAAACCTTTTACTACTCAACGTAAATCATCCGCAAACCAAACGCGTGAGATCACTGTGATGTGAAGCACTAACCATGATAAAAAGTTAGAAATTCAACAAACATTGTAATAAGTATACAAGTGTTACTTGTAAATACCTATTATATGAAAGTGATCGATAAGCAAAACAAATTTTAAACAAGATACAAAATACTCGGATCTAGGTAGCAGCTTTATATTACGTATTTTGTATGTAAGTATCTAGCATAACTTTGGAATCGGATGAAGAGGATAATATAATGAAAAAATCAGAATCTATTATAGATATTTTAATTCTCAAGCCTGGAAGATTACTTGTAATAATAGTTTAGATCTATGTTATCAACTTTATCGCAATGTGTATTCTTAGTTGAATACCTTAAAAACAAATCTCTAATAAATGCTGGGAGACTAAATATCTTCTTCTCGATTTCCAACTACACATTGTGACACAGTCTTGTGAAAAATCATGTTGAAAGGAGAAAAAAAAAATTAAAATAATCATAAAAATAGATTGAATCTCAATAAAGATCCACGAACTTTCCTGGAATATATAGATATTTAAAATTACGATATTAGACATAATTCCACATATTTGAAAGATATTTCTACGCACAGATAGAATGAATAAAGTGAAGATATCTCATTCCAAAGAGAATTGAACAACAAATTCTTCTCATGACTTATTCGTGTCGATCCAAATTGATGCGCAAGAAGATATGCTAGAAGAGTTATTGATACTATATGATGACAGTAGAAATAACAACCCCAAAAAAATCCTAGTCAAGAGTAGTCAATCTATTGCATGATAATCTATCTATACATGGAATTTTTCTAAGGCTTGTATAAAGAATAGATTGAAATTCTGCAGGGGTTGTACTATTTATTTGCGATACTCAGCGACCGTCAATGAAATGCATCATGTTTGTAGAGATCACCTACTGATGAGACTTTGACGTCCAGGGACCAAACCAGCGACAACAAAAAACACCAATACAATCTGCTCGTTTAAGAGAAAGAACATGACTTGGGTCGTTTTATTTCTCGCCATGACTTAGGACATGACTTGTCAATGCACTAAGTCAATGAAAAATAATATTTCTTTCACTTACAACTAATTCAGCCACTTGAGATAACTTACATTGGCTTCTCGACTAAGACGTGAGGAACTTTTGATACCGCTAAACTCATAAAGATATCAGATGACAAACAATTCAACATATCAGGCATTGACAATTGATATCTTTTCCTCTTTCAAACAACGAATGAAAGCACTTGATACAACCTTATAGAATTGTCAAATGAATGATACATTTGAAAGCAAATCTCGAAGGTTATATACTTTATAAGCCGTTGATGATAAACATGCTACTATACGAAAGAATTAATCTATTCGTACTGGCTACTTTAATATTCCAAGATTTCTTATGTAATTTATCCTATTTATCCATGCGTAAGAAAGTAATATTCTTATTAAGCCATAATAAAATATTTTAAAAAGAATCCCCCACCTTTCTCCAATGTATCAAGACAATTTGTTCAAACCTGAATGGCTCATGACACTCTTCAGACAAAGTAGCTCAATCTGGTACTCAACAATACTTATATCTCCTCATGTACTCGAATACTTCTTTAGTACCTTGGTTAAGATAAAATACCACCCGAATCAGATTGAACCAATCTTTATAATATACCTAACCCTATTAGGTATATTATATATACCTAATAGGCTATGGAAAAAAATTTATATTTTCTATAAAAAGTTGATTTCAAATATAGTCACAATATTTTTGAGAGTCATATTGGGAATTAATTATTTCACAATAAGATTGACTCACCCGGAACATTACAGACATAAAAAAAACTTACGAAATAAAATAGTCAACGTGTAGAGAGATTAAGGTTTACAATTGAAGTGACTGAACATGAATTCTTACCCTGTCAAAGTGAAAAGAGGTTGTGACATGATGTATCACGATCTATGAGACATACGCCGAGACATGAAAATGCGACTACTACTAATGGATCTGCTAATCGATCTACTAAGTTTTCTACTCAACCCCCGGTCATCCTCCACACTACTGTGTATTGAGATAAAGTATCAATTCATCTAATACTACATTTCATGTCCATGTGCTAGTGCCAGATGCCTGGGGCGAGACAGCGCTTAAGCTGGCCAAGCTGGCGGACCTTCAATGCACTGTCGATATGATTACATCGTCACCTTTCAGAATTTTTGCCGATGAGTTCCTTTCCACACAATCCCAAATATTTTCCTGCTCCACAGTGACACCAGCTAGCCTTTCTTCCAATTCCCCAAAAGCCACAGAGATTTTAAGGTTGAGAATATTGTCATTAGAGACTCCAAGTTTTCTAGTGAATTCCAGATGCTGCATAACATCATATCAGCACGGAAGAATTGACAATCCACAGATTTGACCTATGGATTCATAAGTTTCGACCTTTCTTTCAGTTCAAGAAGTAACAACGATAGGATTGATTGATTTGGTAACGATAAAAAATCGGGAATTGTAATTTTTAAATATTCGTGTGTTTTGTCGTCATTTCATAATTTTCAGTCTAATCTCGTATAGAATTATATACAAATTTCGCAACTAAGTTTTAATAGGCAGTACTTTGAAGACAAGTTAATTGAATAAAAAGAAAATTGAGTGTGGTACACATTGCTTAGCTAATTTTTTCACCTTTTAATCTTCACTGGAGAATTTATCAGCTGAGTAGATAATTACAATTTTATATATTGCCATTTAAATGAAGTATTTTTTCCTGCTGAGTTTACAGTCCTTGCATTTTTTCCACCCGAACGATTTTTATTATGAAACTGTTCATTATTACTTCTTCCGCGTTTTTTATTCTTCAAAAATCTTTACTTATTAGCAATTAATTTCCCTTTTCTCGTTTATTGAACTTCATCGTTAATATTTCTTCTTCTCATCATCGTTAATATTTTACTTCACATTCTTTCCTTCCCTCACTTTCCTTCGTCGCTTTTTTCATGCATTGTTTATAAGCTCACTACTAATTAAGCTCACTTTCTCTTTATTCAGAATACTTCCCTTCGATTGTAATGTCCGCACTTAAACACGATTCCATCACCACTTTAATTGTAAATGCTCCAACTTCCGTGCTTTTTTCTTTTCTATTCTGATCTGTCGTTCCACTTCCTTTTCTTCCCCTCCCTCCTAGGTACTTTTTCCTCCCTTCATCTTGCAGAAATCAGACTAGAACTTACCTTTTACCTTTCTCGTCAACTCCATCTTCTACCAAGTTGTCCTTTCTCTGCCTGCTATTGACACAACTTCAACGTTAGTTTACATTCTGTCTACGTTTCAAAGTGAATAATCTTCAACATTCTGTCTACATTTTCATCCGAATAGAAATAAATACTTACACAATTACATGTTTTTCATCTGTTCGGACTGTACAGTGATGTGAACTTACTACCTTCGATGGTTGCGTAACATTTCACTTGCCGCGTCAATGAAAATTCACATATCGTACAATATTTAACCTTACTGAAAAACGGTGACGAACAAATGCGACTTTACTTGCTGTGGGCAAATTCAATGATTGTGAAATATTCCTCCACACACGAAGCACCGTATCCTCAGACAAACCGATATATCGGATTGGCAGAGGTTATTTAGTGGGCATGAGAATTTCCGTGTATTTCATTCCTGACAGATAAACCATTTCCACAAATATATGCAGTGAAAATTCCGATTTACTGTCAAATTCTAGAAGCTTTGGATACTACCTCACTGAACTGTACATCGTGCAACTTTGACTGCACGACGACTGTCAAATCGTTAGCTCTATCTATCTAATGAATAGTCTACTTACGCTACTACATATCTATCTTCCTATCTTCGGCGAACATTAAATGTTCTACCTTTTCTACATGGGTTCACATCCAACCCATTGGTGCAAATTTGCACTCTTAGTAAACAGAAAAGTTTTGTGCAGATAATATTACGCTCAAAGTGGAAATAAATAGATAGAAAAAAGTGCACACAAAGCAGAGCACACAGAAGGACTAAAGAGTGAAACAGACAATTTTTCCATACGAAGCTTTGGCAGGAAACTATGTACGAGTGGAAGCGAAGCGAATGTATGTCGAGAATATAGCCATTTGAAGCGGAGAAGGGGTATGGAATTGTAGTGAGCCTTAAACCTTGCGGATGGAGCAATCTTCAGAGGCTCGCGGTCAACTGATAAGTGTTGAATGCAGCTCGAAGAGTCCAGATTGTTTCCCTTACTTCCTGCAGTTCTTCCCCATAGATTGCTATTTTCTTATTCCGGGGGTATTTTGGAGCACAAAACAATATGAATCAACCACGCATTATGATCGACACATTTCGAACTTAACATACATGTAAGCAATATCGAGTGCAGTGTCTGGTTTCCTAACAAATTTGCGCTGCACCAGGCTACGTCAAATGAGAAACTTTCGCACGCTGATCCCTGTCCACGATTTCTTTAGCTTGCAAAGACTAGCAATCAAAACAAAAAAGCTTACCCCATGATGGAAACCGAAACTCCACGGAGATGACAGTGGTTAGTAATTGTGTCAGCATCAATTGTTGTGATGGGAACTCTACTGCACTGATGTGCGTGCCAACCTTTCAGGTCAAGGCTACGACAAAGCAGGCATGTCGAGTTTCATGCGTCAAGTTCGTGCAGCTGGAACATTCCTGTGATGGAGCATAACGGTTGAATGGGGGCGTACAGATCTGGAATGACCACCACGCAACTCGGGACAAACCATCGTGACTTCTCAGCACCTCCAAACTTATTCAGGACGAAGGTTCCAGCTGCTTACGTTCCACTGGACCATTCACTATTCATTCCTTGTGACCATTTCCTTTCACCATGGAGCAAGGTACAGCTGTCGTTCGATGATGATGCACCGCTGTCGACGTCATCCGACCCAATGAATGCATTTCACTCTGAAGTATTGTCTGTGCAATTCATGAAAAATCTCTTGATGGATGCAAGTGATGCAAGTTTTACGACAAAACATCCAGCTGTTTTGAAGTTGCTAATGCGCCCCTACATGCCACTCGAAGCCCAAACAGATGCACCCAACAAACTGATGTGACATGCAATATTACCTCCGTTGTCGCTCGATAGTTTATCGGTTGTACGATTCTCTACTGACAAACGAAGATGCAGATGGACGATTGTTTAGTCACTTGTGACACGTGATTCACCCAGTACCATGTAGACATGTGACGAGTTGCCATCATCACCATGCTTGAACACGCTAACACCGGCACACCCACGCGGGAGGGAATAATCCCTCCCAACCAGAACACGGGGTAAGACCCCCTCCTTTATTCATCATAGGATCCGCCCCGTAAGCGCACCCATAAGGGCAAGATCCTCTCCCACACAGCCAGCCAGGTATTTTATTCCTTTCACCACAGCCAGACTGTCTCCTACTATAGTTACAACATCTGTGTTTCAAATGCTTACTCGATAGCTTACTATCCTCCATCTCTTCCAAGCCCGCCGAGAGGAATACCATGGACGACATCATGAAACGCATCAGAAGATGTGTCACCGTGCGATGGTGTACTACAGTGGGGAAAACAGTGATCAGGACGCCCGCCGTCGCGAAAACACACCATCTCCGCTCAAAGCATGTTCACAGCCTCTACGGCAAGGATTCTGCATCAGATCCAGTTTGGTGAGAAAGACGAAAACACACCGCGGCAGGTGTCAATGGATAGAAGTAAAAGCAAACTCACCGAGAGGGCGCTTGATCGATGAAGTGACCTTCTCCGGACCAAAGAACTGAGTGACAACCCAGAGACGTCAGGAAAAGAAACTCAATCAGGGACATTCACCAGGTGCCAACAGCCGATGTGCTATACACCTCCTCAGACACTAGAACAGAAATCGATCTTCCACTGCAACATGCGGTGGGGGGAGACAAACCATATCTGACAAAGGCAGGGAAAGAGGCGTGAACATCCTGGCTCTTTCAAAGACTCACAACTAGACATAGGACTCGATCGAGAAGCCCTCTCGGCTTCTCGGCGACGAGCCTGACAGACACTCATGCTCCCAGAACCGCGAAGAAAAAAAAAGGAAAGATGTAAACAACACCGCCACATGAGAAGAGAGAGCACCACCCAAACAGACATCCCGTGCGAGATAGATACAACAGGTGAGAGACCCATTCCCCACAAACTCGATCTGATCATCTCAGAACCGATCTTGCATCTTGAGTAGAGACGCTCGACCATGTCAAGAAGATTTGGCCATGGCCGGCCAAGGCGCCGGCGAGCAGCGAGCCTACGCTGCACACAACGAGAGAAGGAGAGGCTGGTGTGAGTTTCTCTGGGACACGCGAGGACTTGTAATAGATCTCAGCGCTAAGAGATGGAACCGACGTGTTAGCGCGAATTGGGTGGAGACACGTAAGGTCATCCCACGCGCGCGCGGGGGCAGCTGTAACCAACACGGCACCTCCGGCTCCTTCGAAACTCGACACTCGGTCCCCACCCACCGGTTTCTCATCCGGTCCATCGGTAACTCAACGGTTCCCACGTTTACTCTCAATGGCTGCTTTCTTTTCTTCGACGATTCCCTTGTCGATGTTTCGGCGGGCCAGACACGTTACACCCACCGGATCGCCGTGTTGACGGACAGGATTCCCCTCCGAAGTCACGATCCCATCGTGACGGACGATGCTCCAATTTCCTCGAAGGCTTCGTCCACACTCCAGACCCGGGTTATATTAAACTTTTTTTTTACTCGGCCAGGCGGCCCCTGAGTTACCAGCCCCGTCGGCCGTGCCGGTCACACGTGGTCGTCATCGGCCGTTCAAAAGTCTCCACTGCCGCTCTCCATCTGGAGCGACCCAGAACCTTCCACTTCAAGCCAGACCCCGTGGATTGCGCTCCGACTTCCGATTAGATCGCTCGATCCCGACGCCTTGTCACCGCCCATTACCTATTTGTGGGGTCCGCCTTCAATAAGCGACCATCGAATAAGCGAGAAGGTCACATTACCGTCCGAGGGTGTGGTGTACATCCCAAAAACGGCCGGTCGACGACAGTACGATGTTGTCGACTGCGGAGGTGTTGAGGGTGACTCATCTGAGCCGTCCGCTTCTGCCTCTCAGCCGATCGATGTTTCAATCGTCGCCCATCGCAGTACTCGCACCAGCACCTACTGCGGTCAATGATATCAGCGACACCGGATGGACTCCGGCCGAGGGTTCCTTCAATCTGACCATTTCAAACTTCAGTCCGGGTATCTCCGAGTCCTTTTGTATCTCCAGATAATTTACATAAAATCTTCTAGATTCTTCCCAAATCTGCTAGAATCGAAACTTATTCTGCAAAAATATATCAATTCCCGTACATCGATGGAATCAAACGAGTGAGGTCACACTAGGCGCAAACCTACTACTTCACTATGCGGATATAAAAATATAAATCTGAAATAGGACAAAACAATTATGAAGAATAATTTGTTAACAACTGTTACTATGTGATGTTTCGTCAAATATATTGGACTGTAACGACTTTATAGTCAAATCTACTCAACTTATATAAGTTAGTTTTATATCCACAGTATTTTTCTGTGTGTTTCATCGGATACGAAAGTGTGCATGCACTATTATGTTCAAGCTCATGTATGGAGTTTCACTATCAATTCATTACTTTCAAGATTTCATTGATGGAGTCCGGCTCTCACAGAGAGTACTCGTGAAACCTTCTAATGAGCACAATAATCATTCTCTAAAATTGGCCATACTACCTACCTTACTTGAGTGTGATTATTTTAACCATATATGAACAAGCAACATCAATATTTTTTGCTCCAAGTCCAATTGTTTTTTAAATTTGAAAGAAAAAAGAAGTTATCAAGCATATGGTAGTGTAATCAAATCGATTTGAACTTAAAAACAATTCTATATCAACTCAATTGCAAATTTTTACTAACAACATGCAAATGACATATGCAAGTTGAGATCAATGCGTCTACATTGAACATGATTGACTAAGTGTTTGAGAATAAATTTTTTTTATTTTGAGACAAGATCTTACATGATTTTGAGTAATGTTTGAAACCATCAACTACAAATTTTGCGAGTCAAATTTCTACATCAAGTAATCATTTGATCTTTTACAAGCAATTTTGCATGCTCAACTAAATCATCTACTTTCTAAGTATGAAATATGACAAGCTTGCGAATGTGCCCATGATCGTTCATTTTTTATTAATAATCATACACATTAATGCAATGTTTTTGGTTGGGTCAAATCAGCATCAAATGATATCAATGAAATTATTTAACTATTTAATTGTGTTTTGTCAAATTCAATTATTTTTCTATCATTTCTACCATGCTATTTTATCAAGATATCAATCGATTTGATCTTAATTCAAGTTCATGATTTAGTGAATAATTTGTAAAAAATTGACTCAACAATATTCTTGTTCATGGATCTTGATGATGAGAGTTTTGAACAAGTTGCCAAAAACTTAATAATGAAGTAATATCTCTATGCAACTGGCGCCATGTTGATGATGTTAAGTTTGTTTTGGATTATTGTTATCTATTGTAGAATGCCAACACTTTAGATGGAATTGAGGTTGTTAAGTTGCCGTCTTTTGTGAACGTTGACCAAATGAACTAAGCATTATCTTTTATTTGATCAACTTTTTCTCTCTTAATTCATCTTCAATAACTCTCCAATGTTCAAAAAAGCTATCTTCCGTTATTCCATGATCAAAAACTTGTAAATGTTGGATTCTCTTACAAATCAAAAATACGGTATGAAGTAATATTAGACGGCAATCAAGAAAGAAGAAATGATTGACGTATTTGAAGACTTTTGCTTCTGAAAATGCAGACAAGGAGAAGGAAGATTGTCCACAAAAAAAATAAAAAATTCAGAGATTGAACATTTTGTTGCATACATCTCTCTTTGAAACAAATCAACCATTTGGAAGATAGCGCCAAATCATCTGCTTGTACAAAGTCTATATGTCATTTAAATCAACCTCTTTATCTAAATCTAGAAGTTCATACAAACTTGAAACGCTTAAAATTACATTTTTCTGAATGGCTTAAGAGGTCATTTCACACAAGGCTCTCTGAGCTACATTCAACTTACAAGAGATTGTTTCAAGAAGACCGCAAAGTGTGCATTCACAACATAATTGTGAACGACAACTAAGATGATGATGATGATTATTATAGATAGTAATACGAACATGAAACAGAATTTGCGAGCTTCGATCAAGATAGAAACAACTACAACGGTAAACACACATGTCCGAACAATGATCGTTACACGAGTTTTTATCGTCTTGGTGCAACCTTTGCTACACTTCCTCTAGCAATGCAGAACGTTAACTTTCAATCAAAAGAAGTATTAGAATAAAAATTGATGAAACCTTGCATCTTCAGAGGCATGCAGCTTCCTCCAAAAGTTCACGGCTCAAAAAGATATCATACATACAATCCACATCAAACTGAATGACACTATGGAGCCGTGAGTTCAATCAAGAGCTTGTTCAATCAAACACTAAAGAGGATTTTTTCTCAGTCTCCGGTCCCAAATGAATTTATTTGTGAAAATCTTTAATTTTTTTTTGTTTGGTTTCTTCTCAAATCAAAAACAAACTTATGCTCATTGTTGAAAAAACACATAGTTTGAGTATTGTGTCTAATACATAAAAAGTCAAATTTTGAAATAGATGTTTATATAAATGTATGACACTTTTTTTTTTCTTGAAGCTGTTAATCATGATTATGATATAATTTTTAGCTTTAAAATTATACTTGACATGGTTACTATTGGATAGTACATCATTATTGTCAATAGTGATATATTGTTATTATTGGGTAGATTTTCAAGTTACAAATTATTGGTTATTGAATTTGAAGATTTCATTCATACAAAGTGACATAATTGGAATTTTTATATATTTATAAAAATACACTTAACAAAAAATTATTATACATTTTTATATAATATGATATTGAATTACTTTATTATGTGTCAATTACAATATTTTTTATGTTATCAATATATAAACATATAAATTGTTATATTTATTATAGATCACTAGAATTTCATTATTATCTTATTATGAACTCATGTTTGTACTAAAATGTCAACAAAGTTCATCTTTTTTATATATTTCATCAAAAAAATATTTGCATTAGATAGTTTGAGTAAACAAATTAAATCAAGATAAATATATCATTTTTTGAAATTTTACTTCAAAATTAATTTTTAAATCTATCTACATTCAAAAATAATTAATTCGTATATTGAATGATATCATTTGTTTTAATACATATATGAAATAAATCTCTTTATAATGAAAAATTTCAAATCTAATTTTAACTTTACATAAAATTTGTTCATTTGTTGATATACATATCCATTTTGTAAGAAAAAATGTATATTTTAAATATTTGTATAATTTAGTTGAATATATTTTCAATTTCAATATTCAATTAAAATTTCATTAAAGCATACAGTACATATGAAAACAACAAATGTTGATGTTTTGAACATTCTATTATACTAGAAGTAAACTCAAAATAACTCGAGGAAACAAGCATATAATGGAAAAAAAACGTCAACAAATAATAATAAATAATATATACAAAATTTTGAGTTGCATTGATTTTTTTGTGAAACTACTTATTTTTAGAAATCTTCGCAATGACTGTATGATAATTACTTAAGGTGCTTTTTCTTAGGAGTGAATTTAAGTATTTATCTAACTCAAGTTTAAGTTACTTAAACTTGAGTTAAAGTTACTTAAACTGGTGATATGAGTTCTCCACAACACTTTCACTTCAATATATATGTGCCAAAAAAGTGCAAATGCTTTCATGTACACAATTAGTAGTGGTGAATTGTTAATTTTCTAAGGTTCAATGATGATGGGACTTTTACATTTACAATATTAGTCTTGTAGTATGAGTTTGGATATTTGTGCGAGTTCAAGTTTGAGCAACTTTCAAAATTCTCATGATAAATTTGTTGGTTGAGTTTGGATAATTAGTGACTATAAATTATCATTAATATTTTTAAGCAAAAGAAAATTTGATATATATTATTCAATAAATTATACATAAACTTTTCATTCTTAAAGATATTAGAAGTGATTGTTTAAATATCCGAATATTATTTACAAATAAATTTTATTTTTTTATAAAAAATTTATGATTAACATTATGATTAACATGTACTTTACATGTATCATGAATATTTTTTATAGATCATTCATCAAAATGATTTGAGTTAATTATAAGAAAGAAATCATAACATCTTTCTGGATTTGAATTTGTATTTTAATATCTTTTTGCTTACATGTGCATTTTATTCTACTT